GCCGCTGAAGTTTTTTGCATAAAGTTTGTCCCCCACTTGGAATTTCCGGACCTTGCTTGTGGAGTCCATGGGTTTCTCCGGGCTATATTGTCTAATGGGGACCACAGTTTTCTTCCCATCAGCAGTTCCGCCAGCTCTGGTGGGTGGATGCGCCCGGTGTGATGTGCTGAATTGTGAGCAGCTTGTCTATCTTAGCTTGCATGTCCCCGGGTCCCAGCCATGCCAACGTTTCTTTGGTCGTTCTCACCATTTGTTCTGCAAGCCTATTAGTCGACGGCTTTCCCGGTGCTGATAGTGCGTGTCGGACCCCCTGGTTGGGTAGGAACATCTCGAAAGCGTTGGCGGTGAATTGGGGCCCGTTATCTGATACTAGCATGTCTGGAAAACCGTGTATTGCAAACAGTCTTCTCAATGTTTTGATAACGGCTTCCGTGGTTGTCGACAGCATCAGGAATACTTTTAACCATTTTGAAAATGCATCAACTAAGATCAAGAACATGTTGCCCTGGCATGGCCCTGCAAAGTCTATGTGTATCCTTGCCCAGGGTGTTCCTGGGTTCTCCCAATCGTGTGTGGGGGCAGTGTGTGGTGCCGGCCGTGATTCTTGGCAGGGTGTGCATGTTGCTACCCAGGTCTCTATTTCCTTATCCATCCTGGGCCACCATACATAACTTCTTGCTAAAGCTTTCATCTTCACTATTCCCGGGTGCCCCTCATGTAATAAGCTCAGAATGTCTTGCCTCAGAACTTTAGGAATTATGACTCTGTCCCCCCACAAAAGGCACCCCTTTAGTCCTGACAGCTCGGTTTGCCTGGATTTGAAGGGTTGAAATTCTGTGTCCACGTTTGTTTCCGGCCAGCCTTTCCAAACCCAATTTAAAATGCGCGCCAGGGTTTTGTCTTTCGCGGTGGCTCTCGCAATGTCTGCAGTGGAGATTTGAGCGCTTTCCATGGTTTCGATGGTTTTGATGAGTAGTGTGATTGATACTGGGGCTGGATCTAGGGCCAGGGTATTTGCAAGACCACCTGCTGCTACCAATAACCTTCCACCGGCCAATACGGTCTCACAGAGAGGGCATCCTCAGGGTGCCGTCGGTCAGGCAATGTCGGCTGGCGGCCCCCAGGGGGAGAGCCTTCTCTGTGGGGGCACCCGCCCTGTGGAATGAGCTGCCTCCTGGAATACGATTGATCCCGGATCCTTGAGCCCTGAAGACGTTTTTATTCCATCAAACCGGCCTAGCCTAAATGGTTTTTTAAATTGGGATTTTAAATTTTATAGATTTGGGGGTTTTAAATTGGGAAGCTAGTGATTTAATTCTTTTTAATTATCTTAACTTTTGTATTTGTATGTTTTTTAATTTTGGCTGTTCACTGCCCTGAGTCCCTTCTGGGAGAAGGGCAGTATACAAATTATATTATTATTATTATTATTATTATTATTATTATTATTATTATTATTATTAACAACAACAACAACAACAAAACAACAACAATAATAATAATAATAATAATAATAATAATAATAATAATAATAATAATAATAATAATAATAATAATAATAGTAATCTATTTCCAGAAGCGGGCATCTGCTGAGAGCGTCAGCGTGGTCAATTGTTTTTCCGGGCTTGTATTTCAGCTGGTATTCGTAGGCTGTTAAGAACTCTATCCAGTGCAGCATTCTTGGTGATAGGATGGGGGGTGTGGGTTTGTCTCCTATGATGATGCCCAGTAATGGTTTGTGGTCAGTGATGAGTTCGAATCTCCGGCCGTACAAATATTCGTGAAATCTTTTAATTCCGGCTACTGCAGCTAGTGCCTCTTTATCTAGCTGGCTGTAGTTCCTCTCTGGCTTGGACAACATTCTGGAGTAGAATGCTGTTGAGGCCTCTTTTCCATTTGGCATGCAATGGCTCAGTATAGCTCCAATGCTGAAGGGTGATGCGTCGCACCTCAGCCGGATTGGCCGTGTTCCTCTGTACTGAACTAATATTCTGTCTGATGTTAATAGTTTTTTTATTTCTCTAAAAGCCGTTTCTTCCTTCTTCCCCCACTTCCATTCCGTTGTCTTATCCAGCAGCCGGTGGAGCGGTTCAGCAGTTGTGGCTTTCTATGGTAGAAAGATATTATGAAAGTTCAGTAAGCCTAAGAAAGCCTGTAGTTCTGTTTTGTTTTTTGGTGTTGGCGCCTCCTTAATTGCCCTCAGTTTCCCAGGTGTGGGTCTTATTCCGGATTCATCAATTAAATACCCCAGGAATTCTACTCGCTTTTCTGCCAGGTTGCATTTATTCTTTTTTACTTTGAGACCCACTTCTCTGAATCTAGATAGCACTTCTCTGAGGTGTTGCTTCAGCTGGTCTAAATTCTTTGTTGAGATGAGCACATCATTGAAATATGGAACAACTCCCTCAATTCCTTGTAGTAATCGTTCCATCAGGCTTTGGAACAATCCTGGGGCTACACTGACTCCAAATTGTAACCGTTTGTACTTGAACGCACCCCTGTGCATTACGATTGTTTGGGCTTCGGCTGTGGCATCATCCACAGGGAGTTGCTGATATGCCTGTGCTAGGTCTAGTTTGGCGAATATCTTCCTTCAGCCCAGCGAATGGAGCAGATGTTGCACCACTGGTACCGGGTAAGCGCTCTGCTGCAGGGCCTTATTCATGGTACTTTTATAGTCACCACAGATGCGTACCGACCCATCTGGTTTAACTGGGGTGACGATGGGTGTTTCCCATTTCACATGGTCTATGGGCTCTAATACTCCTTAAGGAACAAGCTTGTCTATTTGCTCATCTATTTTGGGCCTTAGAGCAAAGGGGACTCTTCTGGGCTTGATCCGGACAGGGGCAACTTGGGGGTCTAGATTAAAGGATATTGGGGACCTCGCGTACTTGCCTAATTTGCCGTTGAATAGTTCTGCGAATTCAGCCATCAGGTCTTCTTCCCAGCCGCTGTCGCCAATGTGGTCGATGCCTGTTACCGCCAGTCCTAATGGCTCGAACCACTCCAGGCCCAATAGGCTGGGTCTGTCCCGGTTCACAAGAGGTAACTTTGCTCGGAAGTTTTTGTAGGCAACGTTGAATTTCCCTGTGCCAACTATTGGGATTCGGTTTCCCTGGTAGTCTACGAGGGTTAGTCGTTGTTGTTTGAGAGCATTTGTCTTGATGCCTAGAACTAATTGTTGAATCGTTGTTCAGGAGACCATAGATAGGCAGGACCCTGAGTCTACCTCCATTTTGCAGGGTCTCCCCTCAAGGAGTATGCTCGCCGCCATCTTGTTGGCTCTTCCGTGCTCGCACGACCCACTATTAATATTTGGCGGGTTTTGCCTCGCTCTGATCCGGAATCCTCATTTCTGCGGTTTCTTCCAAATGGCTGTTTCTTTCCAGTCGGCTTGAATGCTCGGTTGGATGGTGGTGGGCTTGGTAGGCAGTTCTAGTGGCTTCTTCGGGTGGCTGGCTGAGATGCTCTGCAGGGTCTCACTATGTGCCATTTCTGGTCGCACCGTTGGCATATGGCATCACGGAATCTGCACTCTGCCCTGGGGTGATTTCCTTCGCAGCCTGCGCACTGGAATTCTAGCTTCCCTTTGCTTCGTGGCTTGCCTCTCCGGTTGGTTTGAAGGTGATGGACCTCATCCTCCTCTTCTTCTTCCGACTCTGTTTGTACATCCTCATAATGGACCCCGGATTCCTCCTTCCCTTGTGGTCCTTTATTGACTTTCTTCATCGCGGCTGCCAACTTCTGGGTTACCTCTGATGCTATGGCTTCTTCTAGGGCCTCTTTGAAAGTTATCTGAGGCTTGGCTAGTAGTCTGCTTTGCAATGTAAGATCACTTAGTCCCAACACTAGTCGGTCCCGCATGGCCTCTTCTAAGTTTAGGAAATCGCAGGCTGCTGCTATTTCCCTCAAGGTTGAAACGAATGCACTGATTGATTCACCCTCTTTCTGGTCCCTCCGGTAAAATTCGTGTCTTCTTACCAGGGATGATGCTTGTGGGGCATAGTGCGCCTTGAGGATGTTCTGCAGATCCATCCAGGTCATTGTTCTCAATTCTGTGGGAGCCACGAGCACTTTTGCCATTTTAAATACCGCGGTTCCACAGTGTGTGAGAAAAATTGGTCTCTTTCTCTGCTCCGATAGACTTAGGAGGTCATTTCCTTCAATGTACAAATGGAACCTCTCCATGTACGATCCCCAGTCTTCTCAAGCCGGGTTGAATGGTGCAGGTGGGCTGATTGAAGGCATTGTGGTAGCCAATGATCTGACTGAGTGTCGTGGCCATTGATTGGTTGGCTGTGATTGCAGTGGAGGTTTCAGTGCCTCATTCTCTGTCCTAGGATCCCACCTACATTGCCAGTGTTAGATCATGGGTGCAAGAAAGGACAGGACACGTAGTGAACTCCAACACTTTTATTAGCTCTGTAAATTGCAATCCCAGCTGCGGCAGCTCCTTTTATAGCTAGGTGCTGTCCGTGGCTTCAGCCACTGATGGTCCTATGAATTTCCCGCTCTTGTCCCTGATTGGTCCGTTCAAATCTGCCATTCAATACTCAACAGATCTCAAGTTACTTCAAACTCTCCTGTAATTTAAAGAAAACAATGGTCTTAGAAGAAGCATTTGCATCATATGATTCAGGGGTTCCTAGTGAAATGTTTTGATAGAACTATCAGAAACCACTGTGGGATACAAGGACACATTCCTTATATCCTATTGAACAGTCCCATTCATTTGGAAACTGATTTACCCCACATTCCTTCTAAAACTCCTCTTGAATTAATATTTGACATTGCCTCCTTCTCATTGTGCATTGTTGCACCCCGTGTTTAGCGTTCTCTGGAATTATTACTTAAGTTCCCACATATCACTTATGAGTTAGTTCAGCTTCAGAATACTTTTATTAGTTATACAACTCCAAAACACAGTAATAGCTGAACATTTATATGACTGGTCCTTATATAAATATATAATATATTTTCATTCATGTCGTTTTTACCTGCCACGACTCTTGACTGAGTTCCCAAGCATTTCTTCTTTTTCTGCTCTTAGATGAAAGCATAGCTTGCAAAGCATGGGCCACTGCATAGACAGCATTGTAAATGCTATAACTATGCCCAGTAATACTAGATTCAATCACAGAGTCAGGAAGGGTCTCCAGTGACTCCTCACCAGTGCATTGATTGTCACTGTCCTCATCTAACCCAGCATTTGGGAAAGAACATTCAAATGCATTTTCCCAAAACACTCTTGTCAAACTGTCCTCTTCTTCTGAAGAAGGCTTTCTCATCTGAACAAATTTCTTAAACCCTAATATTTCCTTTGAGGAAACTGTGAACGACAGGGCACCATGGATGAAATCCACGGCCCTATATCTTACAAAGGAGATTGATGTGAATTCCATCTGTGCTGGCATGACCCAAACTTTATCTTTTCTCTTCATTTGTGTGTCTTCATATTCTGAAATAAATGACAACATTCTAAGAATAGCCATGTTCTGATTTTCACCATATGTGATTACAACGTTGGTAGTACTTTTCATAATAGCCTTATACAGCAAAACATAACCATTCAGTTGAATTTCAATATCATTGGTAACAGAGTTCTTTGACAATTCTTCTATGAAATCAAAACAGATGCCATTCTTAGAAAATATATCAAGCCTATTCTGTATGAACCTCTTCCCGTTTTCAGGGTTTGGGACAATGAGCCCAATCCATTTCCACTGGAAGTGAAGCAACAATTGGACCAGCCCCATAATTTGAAGGTCTTCATTTGGAAATAATTGACGGAAGAAAGCGGCTTGTATGTTGTCATCTATCTCTGCAGTAGAACCATATATGAGCTAAGAAAAAAAGAAGAAATTAGAGTATATACTTCCAAATTACTTATGTCTATTTTAAGGATCTTATTTAAATATGAATGTTCTCCAGGCAAGGGCAGAATTGATTACTATTTGCATGTTCCAATATAATTTCTATGATAGTTGTTTCTTTTTGTTTTAATAAACAAAGCTCCAGAAATGAAAGAACTGCAAGAATGAATATGAACCTCCGGATTATGCTATGTTTACACATGTTTCCATGACATGATTTACCCCATAGATTAGCTATATGCAACTTTCTAGCATTTTGAATCATTCCTCTCTGTCCCACACTGGATGAAATATATTTGGATGTTTAGCATGATTGTGATTTTTCCCAAAACACGATATGAGGCGATGTTGGTTATCCCTTTGTTTTGAATGTTTCTGACACTAATAGATTCATAAAGATAAAAATTTGGAATAGAAATTAAACTAAATCAAGCAAGAAATACTGTATTTAGATTTGACTCCTTTCTTTATGGGATGGCTCTTACCTGTGGGATCTTATATTTGCTCAGAATGTTTGACATGAACTGAGCAATGAAAGCATTATGTCCTGCAATCACAGATATTACATTGTCCTTGAGGTCACATTTGTAGTTGGGGATGAACCTTCCCTTTGTAGAGAGAAGCTCCATGGAAGCCAGATAAATCCATTTTGGCAGGTAATAGCTATTGGAGATATGGATACCGAGGGTGATGTTTTGCAAGATCCTGGAATTCTCATTGATTTCTTTGATTGCAAATTCCAAAGCCAAGATGTGCTGGTAGTTGTGCATATAATATCTGAAATGAGTTTTACAACATCTGTAGCCAAATCTGGAATTGACTGCATTCTAATTGTATCACACAAGTTTAGATTGTGCAGGCACAAGGACCGATACAGGTGGAAGCACTAGCATCAAAGAAACCATTTGTTTAATATTTCAAGAAAGAGGTCTAAGCAATATATCAATCCATAGGCATTCAGGCAGCCCAATTGCAAAATGTAATAAACATCAATAATTAGTGGGTTTTTATCCCTTAATATGGAGGTCTATATTTAATTTTACTTCCTCCCCTAATTTTCTAATTTACTTATTCAATACACTGGAAATTTCTGAGGAATATTTGATATAATATTTGCATGTAGGACTAACTGCAATCATGCACATCTTAACATATCACTGGTATGAAGCAATGCTCTGCAGGCATTTATGTCATGTGTACTTCATCAAGTCATAGAGATATGAAAAAAGTGTATAAAAATTAAACTGATACCTGCTAGAATGGTACCAAAGCCATAGAAATAAAAACACATTGGAAAATAACTTGTGTAACAGATGGAAATTAAAGCAATATTATTGAGAAATAATAGTGCAGGATAGGCAATTTAACATTCATCATCCATCCTAATTCAATCATGTCACAGGCTTTAACTATTTTGTGTATTTGCATTACTGAAAAACAGGAATTCCATACATTAAATCACCAAACAGTTCATCTGATGTATTTCTTCTGAATGTTATTTCATCAGATACCATGTACATTTGATAAGAAATGCCTGCAATGACCAAATCTTCTGAATGATATCGCTTGTGCTTAATGAAAGGCTGATTTCCTACAGAACATTTAGCAAGGGTTGTATCAGCTTCTACAAGGAAGGACAATATTGCTATTGCAAGGAATAATATCATTTTGTACAACAATTTATCTCTCATCCATCTGTTCACTTCCTGAGAATTAGGCATTTGAAATAGGACAGACTAGAGATACAGTGTTCCATGAGGCTGCTTTAAAGTAGAGATTTACTTTTTAAAAAATCAGAATGACAGGACTTGGTCCTCTAGCTGTACCCTTGGAAAAAAAAGAATATTGCATCTTTATTGCAGGGGAAATATATTACTTTTAATATTTTCTGTAACTCCTTAGAGATTGAAAATAAGAATGCACAATTGATAATGATTGTACAGGTCTAGACATGCTCAGATGAACAAACCAACTTGTGATTCACAGGGTATTGTAACCTGCAATTAAGGACAAAATTATAGTGAGGGGGACAGAAAGAACTCAATGAGAAATGTAAAAAGTTTTGTTCTCCTGGAACTGCAGTTGGCTTCTAAAGGAAATTTACAGCTGAATTCAAATGGAAATTTCAGTCATGATTAATTAAACAACAAAGTAAATCAAATTAAATTGCATTAAATGAAATTTGGATCTCACTGTTAAGAAGCATCATTCTGTTCAGATATTCTAAAAATAATACAATTAATCAAAATACTGGTATTGTCTGAATTTTGTTTGATACGCCTGTTGGTCACCAATGTGCTTATTTGTGTCACACTTATAATATTAGCATTAGCACTGCATACATAATTCTTCAATGGAGGTTTTCCCCCTTGGGGAAATCAGTAACAGAAGTAGAATAACTATTGGCACATTTGTGGCATTTCCTCCTCTTCTATATGGGTCCTTGAGTGAAGCCCAACTTGAGATAGAGGGAGAGAGAGAGGGAGAGGGGTGAGGAGAGAGAGAGAGGCCCATACACTTATTGTGTATATAAAAAGTAAAGGTTCCCCTTGCACATATGTGCTAATCATTCCCGACTCTAGGTGATGGTGCTCATCTCCGTTTCAAAGCCAAAGAGCCAGCTATGTCCAAAGATGTCTCTGAGGCTCGCATGACTAAACACCAAAGGCACCCAGAACGCTGTTACCTTCCCACCAAAGTGGTCCCTATTTTTCTGCTTGCATTTTCTTCGTGCTTTTTAGGTTGGCAGAAGCTGGGACAAGTAATAGGAGCTCACACCGTTATATGGCACTAGGGATTCAATCGACAAACTCAGTGTCTTAGCCACCGAGCCACCATGTCCCCACCTATGTTTATATACATACACATAAATATAAATGTACTATACATACATAGATTTTTTCCAAACTTTGCTATTTCAGTAAAAGAAAATATTTGTAGCTAAGGGTTGAACTGTCTGGACCTTAGTGCTCGCTGAGCTTGTTTGCTTTCTTGCAGATTTTTCATTGGATTAGTAGATAACATCATCTGTACTACAAAGGAGTGGGGTTTGCTCTCATTGTGTATGGTGGCTTGCCTTGTCAGTGAGATTTTCATGGTTCCTTAATTAGGCTGTTGTTCACTGTTAGCTTGTTTGACAGCATTACTAGTTTCTTGATTGGACTTGTTTACCTGATTGTTGGTCTAGCATTAATCTTTCTGTTGATTGCCAGTGATGCGGTGTTTTAAAATGTTTGTTTTCTTTTTGGCTTTTTGATTGTCTCTTTGGAATGATATATAATTGTTGTTACCTTTATATGCATTTTTGGACTCGTTTGGTCCCTGATTCTCAGTTGAAAGTATGGTTTCCCAGCTGAAACTATGGTTAAGACATTCCATGTGTTTTGACATAGAAATTAGCATGGAGATTAAGGCACTTCCATCATGTCTTCTGATGATGATTGGTTGTTGGTGTTCATGGATGCTCTCTAGTAGTCTTCTGACTTTTGTCCTACAAAGGGCCTGTTACAGTCCTTACACTATATGTTGTATATGCTGGGCCTTTTGATTTACTTTTGATGCTTTGGGGGGGCTTTAATTGATTTATGAGAGATACAGGAAAGCCACCTGGTTTGCCCTTTGCTGTATATTATTTACTCTTGTAAATAATTGTATGTTGTGTTAGTTATTTGTTTTATGAAATTTACATTGACAAGTAGATAATATTAGGGAATTGTCAAAACTGCTGAAAGATTTCAATCCCTAATCCTAGAAATACTTACACATATATCTTTTTTTTATTTTCTCAATTCTGTTTTAGAGGTTTGCCTACTGCCAACAGATTTACCATCATTTCTATGAGTTACATCTTTTTTAGACATGCTCAAACCAACGGGATACACAGGGTATCACAGGGTATCACAAGGGTTACAGGGTATTGTAACCTGGAATTAAGGACAAAATGATAGTGACAGAGGACGGAAAGAACTAAATGAGAAATGTAAAAAGTTTTCTTCTCAGACTATTGACTCTGGAGGGCCATGATTTACAACTGGGTTGGCAAGCCTTCTTGTGGCATGAGAAAAACAAGAGTCATGGTTACTTTCAAAGACATTACAAAATGAATGCACTATTGTTAATATGGGAGAAAATTAGAGAACGTTATTTGAGGATACCAGTTTGGCTTTCAACAGTGGAAGCACTGATCCATCCAAACATCATTAACAGTGGAAATATTGTTAGATATAAATATATTTTGAATAAAAAGGTGAAATTTAAAACTAAACAAGAGCTGAGTGATCAAGGCATCGACATGGCATGGTATTCACAAGTGCAGATACATTCTAGATATGAGAAAGATGCTAAATATGGTTTCTTTAAAGAATTAAGAGAATTAGATAAGATGTTAACAGGGACAGAAGAAAGATTGATAAAAAAGCTGTATAATTACTTATTGGTCATTATACTGGAAGATGAACAAGTGAAGGAGACAATGATAGCATGGGCAAAAAAACTTTGATTATACAATAGAATTAGATAAATGGCAGAAGTTGTGGGACAACTAACAATGTCAACTGCATATAAAGAAAATCTGTATAAGATGTTTTATAGATGGCATCAGCCCAGAGTCCTCGGAGACTGGGCGGCATAGAAATATGAATAATAATAATAATAATAATAATAATAATAATAATAATATAGTAGTAGTAGTAGTAGTAGTAGTAGTAGTAGTAATAGTAATAGTAATAATATAATAATAATAGACTTAAAACCAGAAATATTTTTGTTGGGGATTTTACCTGAAGCTAAAGGGAATACACATTTAATTATACACTTATTAACCGCAGATAGAATTGTATTTGCACAATACTGGAAAAGGAGAGAGATCCCTACTGATGAGAATGTGATTAGGAAAATATTAGAATGTGCAGAAATGAATATATTAACCCTTGCTCTAAAGGAGAAAGGACAAACTGAATATTATATGACATGGGAATTATTTTATGAATGGTTGGGGAAAAAATAGAAATTAGAAATAAATGGAGATCAGTGAAATATAGAAAACATATTAAGATAGAGAAGCATACAATATGATGATTCTTACTAATATGACAATTAAGATTATTATATTTAATATTATTATTATATTCTTATTAGATGATATGTTAAGAGGGAGAAATGAATAGATGTATTATGCTCATTATTTTTATTGTAAGATTAGAGAATGAATATCAATGTAATGAGTACTGTAAATTTTGCTTGTTATTGCACAAATATATTTATACACAGACGACACACTGTTTAATGGAAGACGGAATGTTTAATAGAAGAATAGAATAGAATAGAATTTTTATTGGCCAAGTGTGATTGGACACAAAAGGAATTTGTCTTGATACATATGCTCTCAGTGTACTTAAAAGAAAAGATACTCTCATCAAGAATCATAAGGTACAACACTTAATGATAGTCATAGGGTACAAATAAGCAATGAAATCATATTAGGAAACAGTCAATATAAATGGTAAGGATACCAGCAACAAGGTTTCAGTCATACAGTCATAAGCAGGAGGAGATGGGTGATAGGAATGATGACAAGATTAATCGTAGTGCAGACTTAGTAAATAATTTGACAGTGTTGAGGGAATTATTTGTTTAGCAGAGTGATGGCATTCGGGAAAAAACTGTTCTTGTGTCTAGTTGTTCTGGTGTGCAGTGCAGTTTAAGTTTAAGTTTAAATTTTTTTAAAAAAAATAAAGTAAAAAGGTTTGTTCTCAACTTCCAACTGAGAAAACAGCTGAAATCAAATGGAGATTTCAGTCATGATTAATTAAACTCCTCCTCCTCCTCCTCCTCCTCCCTTTCCTTGTCAACTATTAAAATAGGTTGTGTGAATCTGAAAACAGTAACTACTAGAATGACCTTAGAGTCCTAATGGATGATCACTTAAATATGTGCTAGCAGTGTGTGGCAGCAGCCAAAGAAATGGTTTGTTGTTTAAAAAGCTAAATGTTTGTTGTATAAAGAAGCATAAAATTGGTTGCAGGACTTGGGTTTGGGTTCTCTAATCTAGAGAAAAGGATTAGGGGGAATATGGTAGCAGTATTCCAGTATTTGAGAGTTTGCCACAAAGGGTGTGTGTGTGTGTCAATTTATTTTCCAACGCATCGGAAGGCAGGACAAGAAACAATGCATGGAAACTAATCAAGGAGAGAAGCGACCTGGAGTTAAGGAGAAACTTCCTAATAGTGAGAACAATTAACCAATGTAATAGCTTGCCGACAGCAGTTGTGGGTGTTTCATCACTGGAGTTTTTTATAACTGTATAGTCTCTTGTCTGGAATGGTACAGTATATGATCTCCTGTTTGAGCAGGGAGCTGGTCTAGAAGACTTCCAAGGTCTCTTCCAGCTCTATTCTGATTGAGATATAAATATTTATGCACACTTAAGCTGAGTAAATAAGTATTTACTACTTATTATTGTTTAATGAGTTGCATCTGTTGAATGAAAATTATATTAACAAGCAGGTGT